CAACTCTGAATGTGGAAATGATAGAATTAGCTGACACTTAAGATAACAAGTTCCACGTACTGTGTTAAGGGTTTTACAGGTACTTTCAACACCTTATAGAATATAGTCCTGATCTCCTCCTCATAGAGTTAATGAAGAGACTGAGGCTTAGGGTACACAGCGATTCTTCAGTGAATTGCTGAGTCTTTCTAGACCCTAATCTCTTAAACACTAGCTCTACTCTCTCCTGATGGGAACACTTAGGTTCCCTTATGGTCTTGCTTGACGATCACCATTTCAACCTTGGTTTCAAGCTGAGAACAGGTTGTAGGGTAGATTAAGATACAGTTCTCTCTTTTCCAGAGAAAAAAGTGATTTGGGGCTCTGACTAGGTTGTCAATAAATAAGAATCTCATTCTCAGAATATCATCAGATATCAGCTGACCAAGAGTTATCAAAATCCCCTCTTGAGCTAACTGTTTCAGCATTCACTTTTAATTCCAGCATTCAAGAGGATCTTTGTGAGTTCAAGGCCAGCCTGACCTACATAGTGAATTCCAGGCCAGACACGGCTACATAGTGAGACCTTGTCTAAAAAATAAAACAAAAAAATGACAAAAAAAACCAACCCACCTTTATGTAAAGCTTGGCGCCTGGAGCCTGGAAACATGGTGGTGCTATTTTTGTGCTAGATTTTATTTCCAAAGATCTGAAGTCTTGGGTAAGAGTAAGTGACTATCAAATAAATAACATATGCTGCTACAAGTTGTAGTAACTTAGGAGTTTCTAGAGTATCACTTGCCACAGGGTCTCACAAAGGGATGGATGCATGTTAAATATTTAGACTCCTTTTCATAGCACATTTCAGTTTTTAAAGTGTAAGCATTTTATAGAGTATTTATTTCTTATGTAACAATTTTTAAAGATAGTATGTAGGCTGAAGAGATGGCTCAGCAGTTAAGAGTGCTTACTGCTCTTGCAGAGGATAACTGCCTGTTACCCTGTTAACTCTGCTCTAGGGGATCTGACACCCTCTCTTGTCTTCTGTATCTGCACACACATGTATATAAACCCATATGCATTAAAATAAGTAAAAATAAAAAGATAGTGTGATGGTTAATGTTGATTGTTAACTTGGCAGGATCTAAAATCACCTAGGAGACAAATCCTCAGGTGTACTGGTGAGGGAGTTTCTAGATTAGGTTGAGGTGGGAAGACCCACCCTAAATGTGGTTGGCATCATTCCATAAATAAAAATGAGAAAGCAAGCTGAGCATTCTTCTCTCGCTGCTTCCTGGCTGAGGATGTAATGTGATCAGCTGCCTCACATACCTGCAGCCATGCCTTCCCCACCATGATGGACTGTATCACCTCCAACTGTGAGCCAAAAACCCCCTTAAGTTCCTTTTGTCAGTATTTTGTCACAGCAACACCAAGTCACTAATACAAACACATTACAGACTTTCTGGAGCTTATAGTGCCCAGGTCCTGGGACTTTCCCGCTGCCTCTGCAAACTCATTTTCTGCTGGGCCCCTGATAAGAAGAGGTCATACCATGATATCCCCATTGCTGAAGGTCTGAGGAGGAAGGGGCTGCAGTAGAACACCAGGGGCTCTAGACTAGGGAGGGCATAAGAGGAAGCAGCACCTTCATCTTCATCAGGCTCAATGCCTAGTGCTCATGCCTTTAATTAAATTTTATTTTTATATATGTAATTTGTGTGTGTGTGCGCGCGTGCGCGTGTGCATGCACACACATGCGCCCATGTGTGCTGGTTCCTGGAACTGTGAGCCACCCAACACGTGGGCTGGGAACCAAACTCTGGTCCTCTTTTAAAGCAGCAAGCATTATTAACTGCCGAGCCATTTCCTACCCCGTCCTCATGTTTTTCAGGATACACAAAAATGCTTTAATCTCTTCTAAAATCAAAGAAGTATAAAGACTATTACCCATCATTTCATCAGCACAGTCTTAAAACATCTATTCTGATTTATTCTTTAAAAAAAGTCCATCAAACAAAATGTAGCCCTGGAGAAAGGCAGTGAGATTGTGCATCCATACATAGTTTCTGGATTCTCTTAGCAACTGCAGTCTATTCGTGTTCAGTTTGTATGGGTCCTTTCTCTATTAACCCAGAGACAGCGTCTCTTATGAAAGAACTGTCTGTTCAAGCTACAAGAAAGAGGTTGGGTTTTAGTTGTCTGTTTATCATCTATCTGTCATCTATCTATCTATCTATCTATCTATCTATCTATCTATCTATCTATCTATCTATCTATCATCTGTCATCTATCTATCTATCTTTCAATCAATCATCTATTTTCAACTACCTACCTATATACCTATTCTATCTATCTATCTATCTATCTATCTATCTATCTATCTATCTATCAAATCTGGCCTTCCTATCTATCTATCTATCTGTCATCTATCTATCTATCTATCTATCTATCTATCTATCTATCTATCAATCATCAACTATCTTTAATTTAACATAGCCTTAGATGGTCCATACAGTAAGCCTGACCAGGACTACCATTATTTCTGTCCGTTGGGCTATAATTAACAAAACTGTTACCTCAGAGAACTTAAATTTCCAGCTTGAAAATTGATATTTTGGGGAGTGGGGAATCCTGTTTGCCATAACTCATTTTTATTTAAAAGTCCATCGAGCCAGGCATGGTGGCACACACCTTTAATCCCAGCAAAGGCAAAGGAGGCAAAGGCAGGTGGATCTCTGTGAGTTCAAGGCCAACCTGGTCTACACAGCAAGTTCCAGGACAGCTGTGGCTACAGGGCAACCCCATCTCAATAAAAGACCAAAAAAAAAAAAAAGAAAAAAAAAGTCTGTGGAAAATGACCTGAGATTCATTTATTAGGTTTTTGGTAGTTTCTTCCCTTTGAAACTCCCACTAAATGTTAACTGTAACACATACCAAGTAGCATATGGTTCAATGGTTCTCAAACAATGGCAATATTCTGAAGATTCTCCTTATTTCCTCAAAAAGTTTCTCTTGCCCACACCTGTATGAAACTCCTGAGGCCCCTCTCCTCTTTGTCTAGCAGTCCCATTTCACTTGTGAACACCACACAAGATTTTATTTGAACAATAGAATCTATGGCTAAATAAAATTCATAAACCATTCTCTGTAACTAGAAGTTGCAGTTCCTTTCCCATAATATTGTTGAATGCTAATATACTTTGTATGTATGTGTATGTGTAGCATAAATTATAATTTATATCTTGAGGATTAAATTTTCAAAATTCATTTTTATCTTCACTTACTATATCCAATAGCTAAATACTGACCATGTTTGTTGCTGGTTAGAAAAGTGTTCTGAGCCAGGCATGGTGGCACATGCCTTTAGTTCCAGCATTCAGGAGGGAGCAGCAGGCAGATCTCTGTGAGTTTGAGGCCAGCCTGGTCTACATAACAAGTTCCAGGCCAGCTGGAGCTACAGGGAGACCTTATCTATAAGTAAGTTAATAATAATCCAGGACTGGCAAGAGGGTAAAGGTGCTTGCTGCAGAAGCCTGGTGACTTGAGTTTGATCCTCAGAATCCATTTAAGAAAGGTGGAAGGAGAGAACTGAAGTTGTCCTCTAAAGTATATATACACATACAAAATTTTCTTGACTATTTCAAGGCTGGGAAGAGTGCTTAGTTGATAAAGTGCTTGCTGTGGACCCGAGTTTGATCCCTACCACCCACGTAAAAAGTGACACACTTGTAATCCCAGTGCTGAAGAGGAAGACACCAGCAGATCTTAGCCTAACCCCCAAATCCCAGGTCTCAATGAGAGATCTTGTCTTGAAAAGTAAAACCAGTGGAATGGAAAGCACCTGGAAAGGTGGATAAGTGGTTGAGAGGACTGCTGTTTCAAAGTTCAGCTCCCAGCACCCATGTCAGGCTGCTCACAACTACCTGTAACTCTAGCTCTAGGGGATCCAGTGCCCTCTTCCATTTTCTGGGCACAGTGTTCTGAGTTCTTAACTGGTTGGGAAATCAGAAATTTTCTATTTTTGACATTAAAGATAAATGTTCCTAGGAAGTTCTTCAACTCACAAGGGGGTTGGGGGAGTGTTCCAACTATAATTCCTAAATGAGCTATATAAAAAGTAAGTTGTCAACTCTGTAGTGCCTTTTGATATGACAATTCAGTTTCATTTATATTGTCTTGGTGAAGAACCAATAAAGGGAAAGCTGCTTACTTGTAGAATGGGGGATAAGAAAGGCTTTGAGTGTAAGCACCTGGAATAGGGAGACTTTCTCCATTAAAAATATTCTTCCTGGAGTAGATTTCCAAAACTGCACATTTCCTCTTCATGATCCCCATCATTAATCATCAAGTAGTACTTAATGAGCACCTGCAAAAATCAACTTCTGGATTGCTTCTTGCTCTAAGAATTAAAATCCATTCTGACAATCTGTCTGTCCAGTTTAGATCTCTGCTCCTGGAAGAACTTGAATCCAGGCCACAGGGTTTCAAGGGCTCCAGATTTTCTCCTCACATTGCACTGGTCCAGGGTCTCCCAGCCTGGGCATTACTGACATGACTTCAGTACTGCTTGCTGTGGAGGGCTGTGACTGCAAGGTGGGATGCTTGGTGGCAGCATCTCTAGTCCTTAGCACTTTCTCCCATTCCCAGCTGTGACAACCTTCAGGTCTCCAGATGTTGCCAAATGCTCCCTTGAGTAGGGTGAGAGAGAGCAAAATTGCCACTGCTGAGAACCACCCTGTAATCACCTACAGAGAACCCAAAGCTCTTCGAGAGAATGCCCATCACCAAGAAACCCATTGTGACAACTAGGCGTGGCTTTCAAGGAAAGTTAGGCCCATGATTCAGTCCACGTTCTCCATTTTCGCTGCATGCTCAAAATCACCAGAGCGATTTGCACAGGACCAACTGGGCATTACTAGTTTCTAAAACTTCCATGGGATATTGAATTTCTGGAGAGTATAGACTCCGAGCTAAATATGTTTAGTAGTCATCAAATGAAAACAAAAGCAAAAATCAAACATGATAACAATCCCCCAAATTTTATTTCAAATAGAAAATATCCAGGTAGTTTCGGAGCACAAAAACAAACCCACATGTCCACAGATTGCACAACACAGGGCACCACAGACGTTTTCCATTTGCTTCTGTTGTTGCAAAGCACCAGGGAAACTTGTTGCCTCTAGGAATGCTGGGCTTTTAACAGTTGGACTGAAAGTACATCACTTGATGTGAAGCAATTCTCCTGGTACTTGCAACTCATGGAGGCTCCCTCTGGTTGAAAGTAATATCAGTGAGAGAACTTCCTGGGGAAGAGGCTGAGGAGGAGGAAGTTCCCCAAGTGTAATGTTCGCGGCTGGCAGGGAAGGAAGACTAGGACTCAGCAAGACCAACAGTGGCCGAGGAAGAAAAACCCTCTGATCATGTTGTCTGGCAGATGTAAGCTATCAATCAGACTGCTACCTCCACCCATCATCTGTGCCTCAGTAACAGTGAGAACACAGCAGAGATGTGGCTTCTTAAGATCTTATGCCCTAAGACCTAGAGGCATTATTTCTGTAAAATATACATACTCTGGAAGCTGCTGATCCCTTTGTTTCAGGTCAGTCAAAAAAGGATGGCAGCAACCCTTGGTCAGCTCTTAAGCTTCTGAGAGGCAGAGGGGGGCTTGAGGCCACATTTAACATCCCACAAAATAATGAGCCACTTGCTTAACTCATGTGAGATTTTTGTCTGAAAAATGGCCATTGTGGTATCTGCCTCACTCATAGAGTTGCTATGGGGATCTAGTTCAATAATGTGTGTGAAAGAGTTTAGTGAATGATAAAGCCTGATGAGGTAATACTTTCCGTCCTGGGACTTTTTCTGCTTTGAACAGCCTGCCAGGCCAGGCTCCACTGGCTTTCAGTTTGGGCTCCTAAGGCACGAGTGAGTGCAGACGTAGACTTGTCAAATGTCTGTCCTCAGGTGGGCCATTAGGAAAATACATTTGAGCTAAAAAGACAAGAGTGATACATTTTTCATGACTGAGGTTACAGTCATAGTTTAAGTTATTATATACTAAAAGACCTTGAAGTTAATTGGTCGCATCTAAAACGCAGAGGAGAGAGAGAGATTAAACTGATAAATGGTTTCCATTAAAAAATTTGCATTTGGTTTCCCAAATTTATCTTGTGTCCTGAGGTTTCCAGATACCACGGTGTCCTTGCTTTGTGCTCTCCAGGAGCCTTCTGAGGCTTACTGACTTGCTGTAGCCCTAGATTGGGAGATTATCAGTATTTATGCAAAGACAGTGACAGCTGCTCACATTAGCTAGAGTGTTAGCCCTTTACTCCGCAGTTCACTGATACTAACTGCAACCACTGCTTGGCCTTTCAGTTTAGGTATGAGTTGACTTTCAGAATATCGTAGTTGTAAATATGAAGACAAAGCTTTGGCTGATACTATTTCATACAAGTAATGAATATATCTGAGACCATCTAAGTCCACGGTCAAATTTCCAAGTACTTCGAGATCACCTGGGAGGAAGGATTCCCATCAAGGATGCAATGAACAGGTCAGGAAAGGTTCAGGGGACAATCAGTCAGTACTATTATGGGAAGGGATGACTGATGGGTAAGAGGTCAGTGTTTTCAAGCCTTCCAGTGAACGCTTTTATAACTGGTCATCCCAAATGTCGAGTGGAGAAAAACAGGTAGATTCCACCCCACTCTCATCAAAACACAGGAATATATATGGATACCGTCTTTCCTGAAGACAGAGCTAAACAAACGGCAAATAGAACTGTGCACATCACTACATGATGACACTGAGTTCATATTTCTCAGGCTTGTCCTCAGATGGCTCTTCCTTCTCATCAGGGTCAGGGTCTGAGTGATGCATTTGGATGAAAAGAATGTAGAGGAGGCCTCCGAGGGAAGCCCCAACCATAGGGCCCACGATAGGAATCCACCAGAAGTTATTTCCAACTCTGAAAGCAAGCAGGGAATCAGTGAGATGTCTCTCAGACACCCTGGTATTCCTATCTTCTTATTCACTAGGGATTCTTTCCTCCCATTCATAGCTCCTGTTAGTCCAGCAAGAGGTAAGGATAAGCACATTCATGCTAGCCTGGCAGAACCTGGAGTATAGCTGATATCAGGTGACCTATTCCAATACCCTATTAGCACCAGTGAATGATTCACTTTCCCTTTAGAAAATATGGTACCTGGGCTGGCAAGACGGCTCGGGGGGTAGAGGTGCTTGCCACCAGGCCTGATGACTTCAGATCAATCCCTGAGACCCACATGGAAGAGAGAATTAACTCTTGGAAGCTGTCCTCTGACCTCCACATGTATGAGTGGAACATGTGCTCCACCCCTCCCATATACACACAATAAATAAAATGTAATGGAATGAAAATATGAGTCCATGGATCCATAGTCAAGACTGGGGACCTCTGAAGAAGTTATTCAGTAATTGTCTTTCCTTTATCATGAAATAACAAAGCCTGGAGATTATGAGTGGAAAAGAGATGCTCAGAATATGGACAGATTCCTGGGAGTCCCTAGTTTATGAGGACCATCAAATAATAACTGAAAAAAATCTGTAGTATATATATGAATTAGCTACATAGTATAATTTCAATCAGTGCTTTTTTTGATGGCATAGCCCAAAGATGCCTCTGTAAGGTTTTTGTGCCACAATTCCCTCTTCTTTCCTAGGGTCAGCATACTCTGGTAAAGATACAGTTCAGGAAGACACCAAGTAGCTTTTCTAGGTGTCTGTTTTGGAGAAAATTTATTTAAATAATCCCATAGGAATGACTGTGATTGCTTAGAAAAAAAGTCTCAAAGCATAAAGTATACTATTCATTATATATACTTTGTATACAGATATATACATTTGAGAAAAACTAGTTTTGAAAATTAAGAAAAATGATAAAAAACAACAAATTAAAAATAATGCAGGGTAGGCAGAGGCTGTGAGGATTTCACCCTGCTCTGATTGGCTTCTGATACCCTAAACTGGACTACCACATGCACATCACATGTTGCTCAGTAATGAAGTCCTTGTTTAGTATGCACAAAGCTATGGGTTTGAGCCCCAGAGCTCTAAGAAACAAACAAAACCAACAATAAGAAAGAAAATAACACAGCACCCCCCCCAACCTTCCTGCCTGAAGTAATGGAGAGAACTTGGACTCCAGAATAATCCATGCCTGTTCTTTTCATGATTTTATGATTGATAAGCATAGAAGGTTCCCTTTTGTTTATAGCAGAAATTTTTGTCTGTTTCTTTGACATGGAGTCTTATTCTATAGTCCACAGTGGCCCGGAGCTCACTATGTACCTCAGGCTAGCCTCAAACATGTATGTACTGGGATTATAGCTCAGTTGCCATGCCTGGCTTGTTTGAAATTGTGATTAGAAAGGTCAATAAAGGAAATGAGCATAAAGCTAGAGCCCTGTCCTGGATCAGAGAAGACCCGAAGGATTAACCCCAGGGTAACCTAGAAGGTCTCTGGGGAGGTCACCGTCTCTGAGCTTTAGTTTATTTGGGCAAATGTCTTTCACCTGGAGTGTCTCAGGACTACTGTGTCTTCAGTTACCAACATAGGCTTGATGGGAGACTCAGCACACAGCCACCAGATGTCACTCTTACTGCGTGGGAGAGGAGGCTATGCCCTGTGCTCTCACAGCCTTTCCCACACCACCAAATCCAGATGGACCTTTCTCTGAGAGAAGCAGGTGAAGGGTGGCAGCTTCCTTGTTTGTCTTTAAAGATCTAGAAGCTGAAGGTAAGCGTGCCCAGTAAGGTCCCTGTGCTTACCTGAGTTGCTCTATCATTTCTTTTTGGGAGCAGATTAAGGTCTAAAATAACTGCAGGGCACACATCTTCGTGTCACTGGCTGAACTTTCTCTCTTTTACCTCAGGCCGGACACACTGTGGCAGGGGCAGGAGTCCTAAGTGGAGTGGCTCAGATGTGGTTACCTGCTATGCCCTGTCTCAGTTGTACAGTGCCAGAAGTGTGTGTGTGTGTGTGTGCACATATGCTCACACATGTACATACTCATATCTGCCTGCTATGCCCTGTCTCAGTTGTACACTGCCAGAAGTGTGTGTGTATGTGTGTGTGTGTGTGTGTGTGTGTGTGTGTGCACATATGCTCACACATGTACATACTCATATCTCTGCAAGCTCAAGTGTCATTTCTCAGGAGCTGTCCACCTTGTTTTTTGAAACAGCATCTCTCTCACTGGCCTGGAGCTTGCCGATTCTGCTAAGCTGACTGGCCAGCGAGCCCTAGAAATTACACCGGTCTCTGCCTCCTCAGCACCAGGATTAAAAGTGCACACCACCGCACCTGGCATTTTACATGGATTGTGGAGGAGTCAAACTCAGGTCCTTCGTGCTTGCAAAGCAAGTACTTTACTAACAGAGCCATTTCTCCAGCCCAGGACATACGCTTTTGATGATACACTGGAAGCATGCAAGTGAACCTTCCTAAATGGAGCTCTTCTGGTGCTGTAGCTGTGCTCATTCTAGAATAGTTTCTCCTAACATTAATGTTAACACTGAAGGCTTAGGAACTGTTCTAGGGCCTGTCCCCAGCACCATGCCTAGCAGTAGCCTTTGCTTCCAACCACTAGATGGCAGTAGAAATGCCTTCTCCACTTTATTGGCATAACAATCAAAAATGTCCCCAGCATTGTCAAATATCCTTGGGACAAAATGTTGAGCATTTCCCACCTCTTGTTGAGAACCACTGTTCTAGAAAATTCGCTGTACTGCCAATTCCTTTAGTAGAGGGAAAGTTGCTTGATTCTCTGTATCCATCAACTCTCCAAAGATGTCTGCCTTGTTCCCTTATTCAGTATCTTTTTATTGAGCTTCTCTATGGACTCCACTCTAAGCACTGTGGACACAGCAGGAGGAAAGCTGCCAAGGCCCTCCTGATGATTATACTCTTATGGTTCTCAAGGATGTCTGTGTAGTTACCCTGCATGGTGTCGGTTATTCCAAAAGCTTGTTCTTCACACTGTTGAAAAGCAACCCAAGCTCTCCTTTAAAACAAGTCATGAGGCAACCACTTGTCTTCCAGGCTGCCCAACTTGTCCCTTTTGCAAGATGTGCTATTATACTCTTGCTTCATTAAAAGCTTGCTTAACCTTTAAAAAACAAATAAAGACACGACATGCACCTGACTACATGCACAGTCGGTGTTTAGGAACATTCAAGTCCTTTGTTCTCACAGCAGACATTAAACTGGAATTTGCTCACACATGTTTTTCCTACTTCTCTTCTTCCAGTCTAGCATCCTGTTTGAGCATGGGGATGGAGCTCTGTGGCTCTGTGAGGAGAAAGTAGGATGGAGAAACAGGGTAGTCTGGTCTAGGAGACTTGAACCAAGAGCCGACAAACGGAAGGAGACGGCATGGGGTCATGGGATCTCCATGTGGTGAGCACAACTCTATCAGTCCTGCTGGGAATTTCTTACTCATATCTCAAGACCTAATGCAACTCTGTGTCTTCAGTCCTGTCTTTCCCAACTTCCTTGGTAGAGTTAGTCATTCTCTTTTCTGAATTCCCTCAATACTCTTAAGGGCTGACAGGGCACTTCTGTTGCTCAGAGCCAGTGTTTGGACTGGTTTCGAAACTTCTTTCTCTATCACAATGACTTCAACACACCTAGCTCCCAATAAGAGCTCTGTTAACTGAATGAAGGACTCCAGAGACATAGAAGATGCCAATTCTAGGCTCAAACTAGTAACAAAGTCAATCTGTAGACAAGTCATGTGATGCTTACACAAAGTCATACCAGCTGAGGGATTATTAGATGGGTCATGTCTTTCTTTCTCCCCCAGCCCCACACCTGCCACAAGACCCTAGTAGAGTATCCCACACATTAAACTAGAGCATGTGTCAACCTCTGCTCTCTGGTCTGCACCGTCTTGTGTCTCCAAGCCAAAGCTCGGCCCTCCTTGTTGAAGAGCGGCCTCAATCTTTTTCTTTCTTCCCCACCATTGTTACTTACGTAAAGACTTCAAATCCCCATCCTGCCAGAGCAGTGAAGAGTCTGGGGCTAAGGTCTCGAGCTGGGTTCATGGCACAGCCAGTGTTGAATCCCAGAGAAGAAGAAAGGACAATGATCAGGAGGCCAATGACAACAGGCTCTAGGCCTTTGGGGACCCCCATGTTTCTGGAGTCAAAAATGGCAAAGACAATCAGAAGGAGGAACATGGTAGATACCACCTGGAGAGGGAGAAAATGTTCATGAGTTCAGTCTGAGTTTTGCCCACTTGCTCACTCCAAGTCATCCCTTCTATTAAGACATGAAATTATTAACAATGAGCATAATGGATGACCACACGACTCTTCTTTCCACAGACATCCTAGAGGTAGATGCAAACGAAAGTTCCCTCTGCAGATTAAGGACCTCCCAAGGTCACACACATGGTTTAGAGCCAGAGCATTCAGCTCCAGAGACTCGTACCTCAGCTACCACACTATGTTGCTAAGCTGCTAATCAGTGACACAGAAAGGTAAACTGCAGGATGGGAAAGTGAAGGACTGGTTCACACTGGTGAGAAGGATGACAGGCAAGACAGCGACAGACGAATGTTGAAAGGAAACGGACAGAAAATGACTAAGTGGAAAACCAGATTGATGAAATGACAGGGAGATCTGGTTTGTAACAAAAGAAATGCAAACAATACTAAAGTTCGGGAAGAAGGCCAGCTCTTCCAAGGTTTTCTATGGAACTTCACACACGTCATTCTTTTGAAAGGAAGTTTTCAATAACTCATCAACATGCAGTTAAAAACCCAAGTTTACACACACGATTTGATGTTGTTGAATATTTGATACTCATATTATGGAAGTAATCTAAAACATAGAAAATTATTTTTAAAAGCATACATCCACTCAAACATTATTACAGTGCTGAAAATTGGAATACACTTAAGTAGACATTAATAAGGAAAGAGGTAAATATTATGGAATATATATAGTAGATTATACATAAACTGTAGATTGTTCCACAATCTACTATAGAGACATTAAAATCTATAAATAAGGCCAACAAGATGGTTCATCAGGTAAGAGTGCTTATAGCCAAGCCTGAAGACTTGAGTTTGATCCCTGGAACCCACATTATGGAAGGAGAGACCCAACTCTCAAAAGTTGTCCTCTGGCATGCACACACAAATAAATGTTAAAAGAATTTTAAAGAACTATGAACACAAACACTATATGATAGTATTTTAAAAATTCTATGACATTAAGTGAAAAAATAAAAATTGCACGTATACTTTTTATTTAAAAACACACACATAAAAGAAAAATTATAAGTAACTATACAAAAATGTCCACAGGCACCCTGAAGCAGTGGGGTTCTTCTGCTCACTCCATCTTCTAGACTTTCTAAACAATTATTTTACTTTAAAACCTAAATGACAGCTATGAGTTATTGAATACCCTTGGCCCTTCACATGAACGACCTGTTTTCACTTCTTGAAGATCACACCATGTCTGCCTCACTCATCGTCAATCATGTCTTTATCTCACTGAAAGGCCATTACCTATGACTCCTGTGAGGTAAATCCTCTAATTCTCAGTTTACAGATGGGCAAATTTGTGTAGAAAGAGGTTAAGGTACTTGCTCAAGGGCATGTAGAAGAATCAAGATGGGAACCAGGCAGATGATTTAGAGTCTAATCTCTCTTCTCCATTTCATCAGCTTTCCAAAACAGTTATATTAAAAAGAATTTGTATTTTAATGGTCTCCAAAGAGCGCCTGTGTCTAGAAAGCCTTTCTTGTCTCTTAATCAGTGGAATCTCTGGGCTGCCTTGTACTTCAACTGGATTTATCCCCACTCTTGTCACCTTGAAAAAGAATGAGCTGTTTGCTTATCAGGTTGATCATCTGACCCTGAAGTTGAAGAAAGAACAGGCTGAAGCTATATGTGCCTGACAAATATTTATTAGCCAGATAAATGATCTCTAGTTAACCAGATTATGAAATATGCTTGAATGATAAGGCTTGACAACTAATACTCTTGAAACACAGCAGCCTGAAAATATAGTCAGGGTGGTCAACGGTTCTCTTGGGTATTGACTGACTGATAATTGACACTTCTCTGAACTTCTAAAGCCACAGGAATGCCGAGCACTTTTAGGCACTGCCAGCAGCCAGAACAACGGGGTTTTCTAATATTTGTTTTCTCTACTTAGCCATGTATAGTAACTGGCTTAAAAGCTATAATCCCTGGAGGAAGTGGCAACTCACTTTGAGATAGGGACACAGTGAAGAAAGTTTAAGTGATGGTATGTGGATCCACACCAGTCAAGATATGGCTACCCTCCAGGGCAGGCAGCTCTCTGCCGACCAGGTACCGAGCAATTCTTCTTTGGCCAAGACCCATAGTGACACATCTTAAGGATAGGTATTGGAAGAATATTTGAAATTCTACATGATTCTATCAGAATAAAGAGAAGGGAGTACAGAGGGAAGAAGAGCTGGCCTAGGGCAGAAACATTACTTTTGTTGGCTGCCCACTATATAAAGGGATCTAGTATGTATACTAGCTATTATTGATGCTGTTTATCAGAAGGAAAAACCAAGGCTTTAGAAGGCTCTGCCTTTCTTGCACAAGGACAAACATGTAATCATGGTCAGGGCTGGAACTGAGTGCTTCCAGCACAGTGCTGAATTCCCAGGGAGGCTTGTGCTATGATTTTGCCCTTAGGGTGGCCATATGTCAGGGATGCCTCTGGGACCAGTGAACTTCCTGGAGTGGAAAGGAGGTGAGGTCACTGTGGGAAGGAGGAGAGAGTCACTCCAGGATTCAGTGGAGGGGGACTATTTCTGGCACCAAAGTTCCACTTTGCTCTCAGAGTCTCAGAATAGTCAGGGAATATGAGACACTGGATATGAATAACAAGAAACAAGGAAAACATTCCTTTTTAGTGCAAACAACAGCTCAGAACATCAGCATTCTTTCTCTCTTGCTTCTAGTGGGAAGGGTCCCCATCACAGGCGAGATCTCTAGATGTCCTTCAACAGCTGTGCTCTGTTCTGATCTTCATTTGACACAATGGAATGGCAAATCAGATCCTCAAGAAACCTGCAGCTCTTAGCCATCCCCAAAGTCTATTCTGAGGGTCCCCAAATGCCTTGCTGACTCTGCAAATGCACAGCTAATTGCTCCAGGCTTTTAAGGGCACTGGAGGCTTAATAATTCTTGTTATTCTTGGGCATCCTGACCTGGCTGTGGCAAAAGAATCCTAGTGCTTTGAAGCGAGAGAGAATAATCTTGTCCATCTCAGTCTCTGAAGAGATGCTGATGTCAGAGATGGAAGCCCTGCCCATATCTTCAGCAATTTATTCCCTCTCTCTACAGTCTTCTCTCCACCAACTGTTTCTGTATTGCTGTCCTAAATCTATCATCTGTCTATCATCTATCTATCTATCTATCTATCTATCTATCTATCTATCTATCTATCTATCTATCTATCTATCTACCTATCTATCTATCTATCTATCTATCTATCATCTATTATCTGTCTATCTATTTTTGAGACTGGGTCTCACTACGTAGTTTTGACTGGCCTGGAACTCTCTACAGACCAGGTGGGCCTCAAACTTATGGAGGCCTACCTGCCTCTGCCTTCTGAGTGCTGGGATTAAATGCTTGAGCCACAGCACCTTGCTAACTTTTTTTTTCTTGCAAGGATTACAGGTACACTCTACCATGTCTGGTGGTAATTTTGTTATTTTATTCTTTTCATCAGCTACATTCCAAATTTCTTGACAAATACTGTTTATGATATATCTTTCCCATATTATTTGTCATCCTTATGACAAACTTGATGAAGGCTAATATTTATCTCCATGGTACAAGTGAAAAGCTTAAGAAAATTTTACCAATTTGCTGAAGTCACTAGAGACTTAGGATGGGAATGTTGTTTCAGTTCGAGTATTCAGACTGGAGCTTGGAACCGTGTAGCCCACATTCAGTTGCATGTCCTTTAAGCTCCTGACATGGGTCTGAGTTCATGGTGAGTGATCAATAGACACTTGATGCCCATTTGATTTGCTGATCAAAGCAGCATAAGGAGTGGTGAGGACATGTGGCTCTTACCATAGACCAAATGCCTGGGCATCAGAAGCTAGTTTCTTTGTTTGTTGGTTTGCTTGGTTTTGGTTTTTAAATTTTAGTAATCTTTTGATACAGAGTCTCACTGTGCAATCCTGCTTGGCCTGGAATTTGCTATGTGGACCATGATGGCCTGAAACTCATGGTGATCCTCCTGCCTCTGTCTCCCAAATGCTGGGATTACAAGTGTGTGCCATCATACCCAGCAGAAGCTACTTAGATACCAACAGAGCTGAGAAATGTGTAGGTACCTTGAGAGTTCAGATGAACCTAGAGCTCCTGGTGAGACAGCACGACTCATGACCCCCCAGGCTCACCCATCATATTATATGGTCCTTGGATAAAGACAGAAATGTCTTGTAGCTATCACACTTGGACCATGAGTATAAAAGAGACAATAAACGTGAAGCCAACCTCATTTACCTATAATCTAGTCAGCCATTTTTTTGAGGGACCTTAACTAATATAAAACAAGTGTATGGAATTGGGCATGGTGGCATATGCCTTTAATCTTAGCACTCAGGAGGCAGTGGCAGGCAGATCTCTGTGACTTCAAGGCCAGCCTGGTCTACATAGCAAGTTTGAGGCCAGCTGGGGCTACGGGGAGACCCTGTCTCAAAAAGACTGAAAAAAATTGATAAAACAAGTATAAGTGTTGAAGAGAAAGCAGTGTTATCAATATCTTCAATGGCAAATACTTTTTGAAGAAGTTCAGGTTATAGAAGGAACCTCCAATTCTAGAAACAAAACCCTTCCTTTTTGATAGCCCTATATTGCTCTAATTTATCCCACTCTTTCCAATTATATTTTTTCACCAAAGTTAGGTATTTGTTGACTCTCCACTTACTTGGTCTGCAAATGCATTCAGCAGGGATATGCGCGGATCTGGGTATGTTGCAAAGATGAATGCTGTTGCATTTTCTCCCACAATGATCAATTTTCCACCAGCAAAGGCCATGAATGCATCTATGGAAGACAGGGCTCTGGGGCATCAGTGTTTTCTGGAAAGGGTTGACAGAGGCTGTTCTATTTAGCTTTGACCTTCAACTTGACACAGCCTAGAGTCACCTGAGTGGTTCCTTTCTAAAGCCTATTTCCTTAAGGTCTGGTTTATCAAGGTCTTCATTTTGCCAGTCAGTGCGCAGTCAGAGTGCATCCTTGTGACAGAGAAGAGAATGCAAGGAACCACTTTAACTGTTTAGTCCAAGATTTGTTAGCTTGAAGAGCTTTGGGAATCATTGAAGACAAGTGCCTCCAGAGAAGGAAGTTAGAATCTATGTGGTCAGATGACTTACTATTTATTCATGTTTTTAAAAAATAATTTATTGGGAATTTCATACATGCATATAAGGTGTTCTGATCAAATCCATGCCCACTCCCTCCCCTCCAACTCCTCCCATATCTCCCCATCACTTTTTTCTGATAACTTCACGTGCTCTTTCTTTTTCATTTTTTTTAAATGGGGCTTTTTGCTACTCTAACATTCCCCCCTCTGAAGAGGTAATCCTAAAAATTTTTAAGGGTTTTATAAGAGCTCCCAAATATTTTTGACATTTTTGGCCTTTGGAACAGAGTATGTTGCTAAGAGGTCCGAGGACATTTTGATTTCTAGCCAAGAAACTGGCTAACTATTATTTATTTATTATTAAGGATGTCCTTCAGTTTCTCTTCATCCTGCCTCCACCTCCCAGGTACTGGGATCATAGGCATACACCACCATTCCTGATTCCCAGATGAGTTAGTTAAACCACAGAGCTACTTATTTTCATGACCAGAACTCAATTCTGGATTTGTGATCACCACGACCACATTTTCCTTTGGAGTACTGCAAAACAGATGCTCTGGCTATTTTTACAAAGGGGTAGAGGCTCCCATCTAGTCTGTTCTCTGCTGTGCTTCTTCCTTCAAGACATTTTCCCAAGTTCCTACTCTTACTTAGGGGGCCACAGCTTTTGCTACAGGCAGTACCTCTTTTCTCAACCAAATCAGAGAAAAGCAGTGAGATGCACTGGCCTATCTTATGTTCATACTGTAATGCAAACTAGAGCTAAGATGGGCTTGGAAAGACTGTGCCCCTACCCACCTACGACATCACTGTTTTCATTAAGAGAATCCATAAAGTGGTCCAGTTGATAACATTGGCTTCCCTGTCAGAATGCTTCCTGTTCTTGAGCTGCCTCACCACTTTCTGCTAAAAAATTCAAGCTTTTAAATGATACCCATCCAGCCCTCCAAACCCTTGGACTCAGGGTCAGTACTTACCATAGTAAATGCCAAATAGGGCTGCGGCTCCCAGAAAGGCTCCCAAAAACTGGGCTCCCACATAAAATGGGAATTTGGACCATTCCATCCTTCCAAAGAGACACATTGCAAAAGTCACAGCTGGATTGATGTGGCCTCCTGCAAGGAAGAGGAGATGATCCTGGTAGTTAGAGGCTGGGTTGGAGAACTCTCATGAAGGGGACTGTGTCTAGAGACCTCGGGCAGAATTCAGTCTTCATGTAGAGGGTGTGTGTGTGTGTGTGTGTGTGTGTGTGTGTGTGTCAGAGAGACAGAATGACATAAAGAGACAGAGAAGAGAATGACAAAGAGAGAAAAACAGAGAGACAGAGACAGAGAGGAGTATTGGGGAGTAAGGGAGGGTTAATAATACCACAGCATCATTAAACACAGTTTAGAATATTGATCTACATGAAAGGAACTCAAGACATAAAAACCTGGTGTGCTCAAGTAGCTCCTTTTTAAAAAGTATTTTATTTATTATTATTTTTATTTTATGTGTAAGTGTTTATTGCCTACACATAGATAAGTGCACCCGTGTTGTGCAGTGCCCACAGAGAGCAGAAGAGACTGTCGGATCCCCTGGAACTGGTGTTATGGACAGTTGTTAGCTGCCATGTGGGTGCTGGGATTTGAACTCAGGTCTTCTGTAAGAACAGTCAGTGTTCTTAACTGCTGAGCCATCTATCTCTCCAGCCCCCAAGTAGCTCAGTTTTTAAAAATGGAATTTTATCTATCCAATAAGGACAACTCTAGTAGATTGATGTAAACTGTTAATATGAATAAATTTTAAGGCAATTGAGGTTTAAAGCTCTATCTAACAATTCCTCAGCCCATGCCCAGAGGCTATAAAGACATTCCTTAGCATTGGGCTGTTTCTAAAAGGAATGCTGCCCTGGTGTGCGTCCCCTGCCTGTCCTGGGGCCAGGAGATCTTGGGCAACTGCCTTGTCTGAGATCTTTCTCTGTCCTGCATAAACAATGCATTTTTCTCACACAGAAATATGACAATACCTTCCTCAACCCCACCCAAACTATAGCTATCGAAATTAGCTTCCTGATTCTGAGCTATTCGTAAGGTCAGATGGATAGTTTACTTTGTGGAAGGTCACTAACATCCCTACCTGCCTTTGAACTTAAAGGGACATTTACTGAGTGTTTGGCCATATGTTCCTCTTAAGAACCTGATGCAATGCGTACTACTTCAGTTAACTAAAGAGGAAACTGAGGCACAGAGGAAGCTACATGGTCAGCAAGCTGTAAAACCAAAATTCAAATCCAAGTTTATCTGAATTCGAGAGCCAGGTTCTCTTAAGTCACTAACTAACAGACCTTCATCTCCTTCAGTAGTTTATGAATGCTTTTTTTTTTTACCTTGAAAAACATGCGCACGCGCGCACACACACACACACACAGAGACAGAGATAGAGACACAGAGATACAGAGACACACAGAGAGAGCCAACAATCATTTCTGAGCATACAGATTCATTTCTTGTAGAAGGCAGATCAAATTCATTGTCAGGGTAACACTGTGACTACATTGAAATGTAGACTTTCAGGTTAGATATAAACAACTGAGATAGTGATGGTGATTCTGATGATGATGATCCTGGTCAGAGACCCTCCTCAGAGCCAGCAGTCCAAGCCCCCATGGAGCAAACCACACTTTTTCTGAGGCTCCAATCCAAGACTTTCGGTGGATGTGGTTGCAAACCTACCAGGGTCTTTTCTGCGATTGCCTCTGCCACTCAACTCAGGTCAATATGAGTAAGAAAATGCTCACATGTCAAAGTCAGGTACCTCCTGAAACCTTACAAACATGTCAACACTGAGGTCTTACTTCTAAATCTAAGTCTCAATTCTGGAGGCTGTGGGAGAAATCAGCTTAGTAGGAAGGCTGGAAAACATGAGTTTGAACAAACACACAGGATGAGGGGGAATTCCTGGAGTTAGTCCCCTTTCCTCTTCTCCCTCTCCTACGGGTAGTATCTGTGATCTAACATCTGCCACCTAGCCAACCTGGAGGCACTCATTGTAAAGAGATGATGGGGAGCTTGGTCTCACACAGTGCTAGGCACTTACTACAGATTTTACACAAGACAGTTGATGAAACAGAGACTTCTCTAGACAATGCAAGCTACAGAGGTCTGCGAAGGAAAGTGTTTGGGAGCCAGAGGTGGATCTGGGAGGATACTCTGAAAAGCAATGAGAAGGGTCCCAGGGGTGACAGAAGGAGACAGGAAGAGGAACCAGTGGCACCTTGTCTCCTTTGGCTGGAATCCAAAGGGCTGCTAGAACTTTCTCCCTGCAGATTTGAGTGGCCACCCTGATTTACCACAAAGTCAGAGCACTGGAGTAGAAAGAGCATGGGCATTGGGGTCAGAGAGTCCTGCCCTCCAATACTGGCTCTGCCAAGGTTGTTTTAATGACCAAATTATTCTCATAAAGAGTCTCTTCCCCCTCCCTCAAGGGAGGGGCAGCTGGATCTCAGGGAGGCTAAGATACCCATCTTGAGCAAAGTGAACCCTTTTGAGATTCTGTTCTAGGTAGCTCCCCTCTTCCTCAAAGCCCATACACAATTCTGTGATAAAGACAGCCTATATTTCTCTTGTCATTAATAGCAAGGCTGTTTTGCTTTTTCAGTGAATTACTTTGTTTAAAAATGCTACATCAAAAATAGTTTCCACTAAGGGTCAATGAGATAGCTCATAGAGTAAAGGTGCCTACCACCAAGTTTGATGACCTGAGTTCAATCCCCGGGGACCCATATGGTAGAAGGAGAGAGCTAACTCCTGCAAGTCCCCTGGCCTTCTCAAGTACACCATGATATGAAAACATTTGCATATACACACATGCACAAAAACAAATAAAATATAATTAAAAAAAATCACTGCCAAGAAGCCTACATGTTTTGTACAGAATGCTACATACTTAGTTGTGGTGAGCTCTGATTTGTTATTGGCACATTCACAAGGGAGCAAGATGCTGTAACTTCTTCATAGCAAAGTAATGTTTTATAGTTAAAAACCAAGGGTTAAGTCAGATATAGTGGAGCACACCTTTAGACCTGCACTCAGGAGGCAGAGGCAGGTGTGAGATCAAGGCCAGCCTTGTCTACAGTCTACATAGCAAGTTCCAGATCAGCTGTGACTAAAGGGAGACCCTGTCTCAAAAAGACAAAAAAAGAAGAAAGCAAGGTATAATATATAATGACACACACCTTTAATCCCAGCATTCAGGAGGCAGAGCAGGCAGATCCCTGTGAGTTCCAGGCCAGCCAAGGCCATATAGTGAGACTCTGTCTTGAAAGAAAGAGAAAGAAAAAGAAAGAAAAAGAAAGAAAGAAAGGAGGGAGGGAAGGAGGGGGGGAAGGAGGGAGGGAGGGAAGGAGGGAGGGAGGGAGGTCACTGACCTCACCTGTCTGTGACCACACAATAGGATCACATTTATATTCATGCCCAACACACATTGGCTGTTTTTGGAATCCTCAAAGAATTGGGTTGGTGAGATGGCTCAGTGATTAAGAGCACTGACTGCTCTTGCAGAGGACCCATCTTGCAGAGGTTCAGTTCCCAGTACCCACATGGTGACCAACAACTGACTGTAACTCCAGTTCCAGGGGATCCGACAACCTCTTCTGACCTCCACAGGCATTGCATGACACAGGTGCACTTACATAAATGCAGGCAATACACTCATACACATACAATTAAAAAAAAAATAAAGTAGTTTTTTAAAGAGGACTTTCCCTGTCTCAAAAAGACCAA